TCTGATCTTTGGAGGTACAGACACATCACGGCAACTGAATATCTTTTCTGAGGCCTTCACTGCTACTCTATCAGGTGCTAGTCTGCACCATATGTCATGACTGCTGGTTCCTTTATTGTTGATAGTTGATCCTAAAAGACAGAAGCTATCCACCACTTCAATATCTTCATTGATAATTCAAAGGCTGGTTGCTGTATCTGTTGTAATGACCTTGTTCTTTTTTATATTTAATCTTAGTCCCTTTTATTTTTACTGAGTTCCTTGACATCCATTACTAAAACTTGCAGTTCAATGGAATTTTCAGCTACCAGAGTAGTGTCATCAGCATAGCACAGGCTATTGATGTTTCTTTCTCCAGTTATAAAACTATGTCCACCTTCTTCCAATCTAGGTTCCCTCAGTAGATATATACTTTATAGGTTGAATAAATAAGGAGAAAGCCTTGTCTCACTCCTGGAATATGGTACCAACCTGGAGATATGGAGGTAGCATATTCGATCCAGACTGTGGCTTCCTGGACTGAATATAAGTTTTGCATGAAGACAATGAGATGTCCTGGGAGCATTTTCCTGAGTGCATTCCACAGCTTGACACAATTTTCCTAAGTACATTCCACAGCTTGACACAATCAAAGGTCTTTGTATAATCAGTGAAGTATAAATTGACTTATTTTTAGTATTTGTTGGCTTTCTTAATTATCCAGCATGCATCAGCAATCATGTTTCTTATTCCTGGGCCTTTTCTAAAAATAGCTTGAACATCTGGCATCTCCCCTTTCCATGTAGGACTCTAATCTGTGTTGGATGATCCTAAACATTATCTTGCTAACATGTGAAATTAAAGATATTGTGCACTCTGTTAAATCTCCTTTCTTTGGTTTTCATGTGTAGAGTGATCTATACCAGTTTGTTGGCCACTGTGTTCTCCAGTTTTGCTGGCATAATTTGGTTAGAACCTTTACAGATTCTGATCTAGCTTCATCTTTTGGTGCTAGAGGTTCTTGTAAATAGAAAATATATTCTAAGGTATCTTGGGTGTTCAAATATTTACTGTATAGAATTTCAATCTACTCCTTCCATCTTTGTCTGATCTTTGAATTAATTACCCTCTGTCCGTTGGTGTCCTTTGGCATGCTAATTCAAAGTTGGTACCTCTTTCTGAGTTCAGAGAGCTTTTGGAAGACTGTCCTTGTTTTTCTATATTTTTCCATCTTTGATGTTTTACAGATGTCATTGTAATACTGCTTCTTGTCTCTGCCAACTGCTCTCTGAAATTCTTTGTTAAGTTCCTTCCTGATATCGTTGTCTTTCTTCCTTAGGCTTTGGCTTCTGTTCTTGTCTTCAGATTTTTATCACCTGTTCTGATATCCAGTTTGCTTTCTTCTTTTTATTAGTGTTTGGCAGTCTCTTTTCACATTTATCTTAACTTCTTTGATTTCATTCTACAGTTCCCCTGGTTCCCTATCAATTAGATTCAGGAATTCAAAGTCATTTCTGATGTTCAGCTTGAAATTGGTGGGTATATGGTCAAAATCATATTGTTGAAACTGACTGACTTTCTTCCTCTGTAATTTAACTTGGAACTTACACATGAGCAGTTTGTGATCTGTTCCACAATTGTCCCCTGGCCATATTTTTATAGTTGTAACTGAGCTCTTCCACCTCTCTTAACAATGATATATCAATTTGATTTCTGTGTATTCCATCTGCTGATGTCCATGTATATAGGAGTTGTTTTGGTTACTGGAAGATGGTACAGGTAGTCCTCACTTACCGATAACTTGTTCCATGACTGTTCAGAGTTATGACAGTGCTGAAAAACTAACTTTACAGTCAATTTACAACCATTTATGACCGTCACAGCATCCCTTAGTCACATGATCACCATTGAAGTCATTATGCCTTTACCTGTGCCTGACCTGTGTTTGCCCCCCCCCCCAGAGCAGAAAGATTGGAGAGGTGGGGATTGCAAGAGAATAAGCTGTTTGCTTTTCTAGACATTGAAAGGAACGTGATCGCACTGGCAGCAGGAAAGGGTCAGGCAAAGGAGGAATTGCCTACAGAAGTCACTTGCTTTTTTTCTATTCCCCCCACCCCCTGAGCAGAGAGGTTGGAGAGGAAGAGCTTTCAAGAGAGTAAACTGTTTGCATAGTGTGCCCAAGGCTCCCATCCCCAGACTGCTGGTGCAATCATATTGCTTTTGATGTTGTCAAGACGGTAAGCAGGCACTCAAGCATTCCAAAGGGTGGGGCAGTGGTTAGGAGGCAAATGAAAGCCAAAAGTGTGAAACTAAGTACTTTTCTCTCTTTCCAGCTGGAAAATACAGTCATGGTCACATGATTTCCCACTTAGTGATTGCTTTGCTTAGTGGTGGAGTTGCTAGTCCCAATTAAGGTGGTTAAGTGAAGACTACCTGTATTAGCAATGAAAAAATCTGGCAGAACTATATACACCCTTTTCCTATGTCATTTTTGTTTCCTAGGCCACACAATCCAACTACATTTTCCTCCTTAATATTTCCAACTTTGGCATTCCTGTCTCTAATCACCAACAGCACATCTTGCTTGCATGTGCTGTTGATATCAGATTGAACTTGACCATAAATTTGTCAAACTCTTTTTCTGCATCAGTGGTTGGAGCATAAACTTGGATAATATAATAATAATTAGGATTGTCTGTGAAATCTAATTCATATTATTTGGTCTTTAACTGCACTGTACTCAAATACTGTTTTTGCTATATTCTTCCTGATTCTAAAACCAATGCTGTTTCTTCTTTGTTTTCGGTGTCCTGGGTAGTAAACAGTATGATCTTCTGACTATGTTGAGCTTTTCCATGTTCATGCTTATTTTCCATGTTTTATTTGCAGTTTTGGATTTCCTTTTCATGCATGGCAACATTAGGAACTAGACATCCCAAAAGCTTTTAATCTAGTTACATCATAAACACCATTAGTACTCTGAAATATGTTCAGGTCTTCCTCAAAAGCATGTTGTGGGCTATCAACCTGCAGGGCTTATCACCTGGTACTATACCATCAATCACTTTATCTTGATACAATACAGGAGTAATTTGCCATTGTCTTCTCCCTCAAGGTGTGAAATGATGCCTCTTCCATTGTCACTGAGGTGATCATCCACCATCTTCCAATATTGCTACTGCTCAATATAGCTGCCTGATCAGCAGCTTCAAGTCCTGAATGACCTGCTGGGAATATATACTCTTGGCATAGAGTCCCAGGGTTCTTCGCTCATCCCTCCCAGGAGCTAACCCTTGTCATGATGAGACAGCACAGCAGGACTTGAGTAGGGGGCAGAGATGACACATTCACTTGTAATATTTGATGAAGCCAGGATAGTGTATACTGGAGAGAGCCTCTCAAGATAGAAGCAGGTAATACAATTTATAATGATTAAAGGCAAGATATATGGGTCCTCCTTCAGAGTAGATGTATATGGTATTTTACAGTAAGCTATTTTATGGATTTCTACAAACTCTAGAAATTCCTTTTAGTTTGCTGTTAGAGGTATCCTTAATTTTAAATACATGAATAGGTTTCTCAAAAGACAATGAAGTGCCTAATAATTTCTGAATAATATTCATGCTTTAATCACATATGCTAACACTATACAGATATTTTAATTTTAAAAATCTGGCTATATATCTTTAAATAAATATGGAGATCCAGTCATTCTTAATACAAATCTATGAGGATTCCTCTTGCTTTTGTTTTAGCAAGTGGATGAAAGTGGCTGTAAATTAGATTCTGTGATATATCTTGTTCCTTATTTTTGAACTGATTAGTTTCATACTGTTGGCAGTGACTTACCCTGTTGAATTCAGCTTGGGATTTTGTAGCAATTTTCTGCATGGTGTTCAAACCCCTGAGGGACTGTGTAGATATTCTGTCAAACCTTTTCCAATGGATGTGTATTTCATTCTTTAGATGTACTGTGCTCATTTATAAGAACCACTCTTCAATCTGTAATGGAACATTTTCAAAATGAAGCTTAGAGAGGCAGAAGTCTGACACACTGACTGTAGTATTGTTCCTTCCTAAGATGTATTGGCTCCATTAATATGAATAGAATTTCTGTATTGTATTGAATTTTGTATTGTAGTATTCTAATTATTCACAAGTTATTTTAAGTAAAATAAGTAATATACAAAAATATGAGCATTTGCTGTTACTGGAATCACTACCACTGAGGTACTGGTAAATCTTTCTTTTCTGCCCATTTTAAAGTGATTTTTAAAAAAGAAGATGCTCTTCAGCACATATTAATATAACAAATGTGAGTAATATGTAAAATGTGGATCAGATAAGAAAACTACTTACCCTAGTATTTTGGTTCTGACAATAGGCAAGAAAATATATTTGAAAAATGTGGACAAGGTCTTTTGAAGTCTTGGTTCATGGCTGATTAGTTGTTTGTATTTCTTTGGGCTCTTTTTCAGAAGAACAAAATGATAGTCAATGCAGATCTTAATACCTCATCAAATAACTTGCACAAGCCTAGTAAATAAGATTCATTCTGATTTATGATCAGAATTACAAATATCTGCATTTTCCTGTCATTAAAAAGCAGGAGTGGGTAATGACAGAAAAGGTTGGGTGAACAAGGAGGTACTAAGAAATGTTGTTACTAGAGATTTTCTGATTTACTTCAAAGTTCTTTGGATATTTATTCTAAGAAGGAACTCACAAATTTCCTACAAATGTTCATAAACCAGATGGCAATTCTTAAGATAGCCATTCTTTATTACTAGGAAACTTCCATTCCATAACTATGTTATGGAACTATTAATTAATTAACTATTAATTAATTAACTATTAATTATTAATATTATAATTATTATTAATTATTAATTAATAATAATTATAACTATTATTAACTATTAATTCCATATTAATAATATAAAAAACAACCTTTGTAGGAAACTAAAAACATTATGTTAATTGCATCTTTCTTATTTATTTATTTATTTATTTATTTACAGATGTTACTTGGAAGATGGAGCTTCAAAAGGTGCCTGGCTGAACCGATCAAGTATTATTTTTGCAGGAGGAGACAAGTGGTCAGTAGATCCTCGAGTTTCAATTGCCACAGCAAATAAAAGGGAATACAGTCTCCAGATACAGAATGTGGATGTGTCAGATGATGGTCTATATACTTGTTCAGTGCAGACCCAACACACGCCCAGAACCATGCAGGTGTACTTAACTGTAAAAGGTATCAGTTATTCAATTTTTTAATTTTAATTAACTTTTACAAACAGAATCGATTTGGCATTTGATTTTAACAGATAATTTCAATTAATTCATTAATAGCGTTTTTTGATGCCTTGAATTAAAAATACAATTAACATAACTGTAGTCAGTTACAAATACATATGTCAAAATGTGGGAGAGTATGTATGTTTGTGTGAAAGAGGCGATGGATTTGTGCTTGCAGAAAGATGTATGGTACAGTATTTATTAAAATTAAGAGATGCAATGTATTCCAACTCTAAAGTTAGAACTGTAAGCAGAACTCTTGCTATGAGAAAGCTTTTGTTCTTCAGTCTCCCTGCATTGAATATGCACAAGTTTGCTAAAATGCTTCCTCTTATATAATCCTATTTGTTTGGCACAGCTAGATACCATTATGAAACAACCACCAGAAAAAAAGTATTGAAGATAAGTGTCATCTTCTAGTCTAATTCTTTTTCAATTAAATTATTTTGAGCCAAGCTTATTCCAGATGTTACTCAACAGTTTAGTTACAAGTTAAAATAATTTATATCCACAATGGTTTGAGTAATTATGAATTTGGATTAAATAAATCCTATTCTTTCTTGCTATTTAATTCAGTATCTGGTCTAAAACAACAATGACTTATTTTCATCTTTCTTTTGCACATATTTCAACTTGCAGTGTGAGATGTTCTCCATATTTTATCCTATGAATCTACAATTTCATCAATATAATGCAAAAGTAGAGCAAATTTCTCAGTTCAGTGTGGCATCTCCTTATTTTAGTGGAGGTACAAAGCAAAAATATAAATTATTTTCAGCCTATTGTCTCTCCGCTACAGCCAACATTTTTCTCCATTAGAGATGTATGTGGTAAATTAGATTATTTACTGAAGTTTTCTGTTGACTATTGCGATATATCCTAGTTTCATACAGAAACATTATTTAAGTGAGAAAAGCCTGTTTTTCCACAGAGTCTGTGCATTAGATTTGCTACACCACTTTTTTGATTAACCAATACTTCAAATATCTAATAGATCTAATATTTTCCACCACAATTGATGTATGGCCATGGTTTCATAGTTAACCAAAGTACAGAATCTTTGTCAAAATGTTTGAAGTAAACATATACATCAGACCTCTAAAGATAAGTGAAAAAGGATGGTCTATATTGTCAGAGGAGATGTTTGTGCATTGGCTATGTTCACATGTAGCACTAATATGTTTATCTTTAACAATGGATTAAGTATCTATTCATGATCTGCAACACAGACTATCACACAAACTGTTCCTGACAGTGGTTTGTCAGTCCCTCTTTTCTCCAGCCAATATCCTAACCATCAATGAATTGGCTAGCCAGCCGACATTACTTTTTAAAAATTAAAAAACAAAAAAAATAGAGTGCTATAGAGTAGCTGAAGTCAAAGCCATTCCAAGATAGATGGGAGCAACTAATATTTTCCCCATCCTTTTTTTTTCTTTTAAGAAATTATGCACAATTATGGGTGAAAGAAACCTAGGGGTAGTGAGCTCCTGCTATGGATGTGGCTTTGCTTTACAAGTACTCTTGTACTTCATATTATTTTCTTTGAGGATAATGGCTGTTCAGTTGTAAACTGGTCCTTAGTTATTATGGCTAGGTTTGGTTAGTCTACTACAAAGCAGTTACAGGTTACTGTTGAAGTTTTCTACCTTAACCAAAATTTGGACAATGGTACTCATTTAGGCAATATGCTAAGCTTAATCAAATTTAGCCAGATTTACTATATGATCCATACTCTCTCTTGATTAACGCTTGGTTTAGTCTGATGCTGTTTTAGGTCCTATGAAGGCTATTCTTCCAGGCACTTTAAGTAGTCTTTGTTCTATAATGTCTCTTCTCAAACAGTGACCCCTGTTGGCATCATCTCTGAGTAATTCTGTTTTTTTTTTCTTTTTTCTTTCCCCAAAATGAGATTCCCTCAAAGTGGCTAATAAGCCAGTAGAAGAGAATATATGTACCAGGGTTGAACTATGGAGTCTTTGGTGTTCTCTGAGCTTGGTTGTTTTCCTGCAGATGTTTCATTACCCAACATCTGCAGGAAAACAACCAAGCTCAGAGAACACCAAAGACTCCACAGCTAATAAACCATTAAAAAATAAATATATGCAGCTCATAACTAAGAAGATTTTTGTTTGTTGAATGCTGCCAAAAACCCTGAGAAAAAGATGCTTTGGCCAAGAGTCAGTGAAGAAAGTACTAAAAGTGCCTGGTATGGGGTTCCATAGTTTGAGAGACGAAATGTAAGAATCCTATTTCATGCTGTTACTGATGGTACTAGGCAAAAGATGGTCCTCTATCAAAGAAATAAAAATTGTGCACCTTTGAAAAAAACATTCTCTGAAATGCATATGACATTCTGAAAATACTGTAGATAAGATTCAGAGGAACTCATAGGAAATAGGGTCAAAGAATATGCTTTTCCTTCAGGAACTACAAAATACTTACAATTACAGTGTGGCAGGGAAAATAGAAATGGCAACTTGATGTTGGTAGGACAGAAGAGTATTTCTTTGAAAGGCAACATTCTTCCAGTATTTTTTTATAATGAAACAAATCAGCATTAAAGTCATTTTCTGCAAGTATTAATAAAGTTCAAGAGGACAGATATCATTATCGCAACTAGGGTCAAACTGAAAACAGTATAAATGTCACTGAAAACAGTGTTTTCTGGAAATTTATTTTCCTGTGCAAAACAAAAAACAAAAACATGCTGTCAAGCATTCTTTATTTCAGAAATTTCTTTCATCCTTGTCATGGCAACACAAGTTCAGGTGCACATTTGGACATGATGATTTGCATGGTAGGTTTCCAGATAGAATGAAACTGAATGGTTAGAAAGTCCCAGAACATTTAGATGTTTATCACCATTGATGCTGCTGTGCATTTTATATACAGAGCACCATTTCAGGGATTAGGCTGCCCTAATTAACTATTCTAAGGGACCGGTGGTTTAGGAGTTAGCAGTGAGATGAGGGAAGCCTGTGATCTCATGAGCTGCAGTCCAAAATTGGCCCTGCTTGGCAGAGACATTAAGCCAGGACCATCTGATTGCTTTCTGTCATTTTCCTAAAATGCCCTTTTATGCTGTCGCTTCAGCTTTCTGTATTTAAGTCCCAATAAAATACAAACAAAGAAAATCAGATTAGAAATACCTTGCGTTTTTTACAAAAGATAAAATGCTGAATGATTGAAAAAAGACCATGTGTTGCTTTGTTTATTTAGCAGTATTTATCTTGTAATAAAGTCTGGGGGCTTACAAGGATAACTATCAGTAATATGCAGGGTGCTGTATTCTAAGTCAGATCATAGGTTCATTTCATCTGATATTATCCTCTTCAATGACTGTGCCTTTTCAGATTTTCGACACAGGGTGTTTAAACTGAGGTTTTTTGTACTTCAGATGACATGGTTAACCCTTCTTGGCTTCCCTAGTGCTTCATGCACTAGTACAGTGTATGATAGTCATTTTGTAAAAAAAATAATGTTTATCATAACTGAATATAGAATTGTTTATCTGTATGCTTGTTTGATAAATACTGACAATACCCTTGGAGCTCTTACTTAAAGCACCCTGAACTCCCTAGGTTCGGGATATAGATAGTGACTGAAGTCATTCCTTTATTAATATTGCTATATGCTGGAAAATATGGAACAAGGAATTATTCTAATAAATGCCAGGTCTTTTGTTTTAGCAGCAGTATAGTTATGTTTGACTGCTGTCATGTGAACTCAACATTTAGACATAACCAATGATTTTTAAAAATCTACAAGAAGAATTTATCGTAGTACATTGTATGCAGTTAAAAATGCATTTTCCAGGTGTTCAGTTTTTTTGCAATTTACTGTATTTCTGTGAATAATTCCCCATAATATTTTGCGTATACTTAAGCTTATGATCATCACAGCTATACATGTTTTACAATATACAAGTACCTTTGAATGCTTTTCTCTAATACTGTACTGGCATTTTTTTCAGCATGTGTTAAATAGTGAATTACATTACACTAGTTCTGTCTTCACATTTTCTACAGTGAATTAGAATTCTTTCATTCACTGAAATGGTGAATACTCAAATGGTGATGATTTTTCATATGCAAGTATGCAACCCAGTCCCAGGCCTTTTCATTCTGACATTAAGCCAATGTACCTTCTTCCAAGAGTTCATACAATTAAAACTTTAGTGTATGGATTTACAGTCTGTGGCCCCAAGGCTGCACATAGCTGTCAGAAAGGGCTGCCCTCAAAGAGCATCCGGAAGCTTCAGCTAGTGCAGATTGCAGTGGCGTGGGCAGTTATGGGCTCCTTTCGCTTGGCGCATGTGATGCCTGTGTTCCGCGAGCTGCATTGGCTGCCAGTATGCTTCTGGGTTCATTTCAATGTGCTGCTAGTGATCTATAAAGCTTTTCATGGCATGAGACCAGGATACTCGTAGAACAGTCTCCTCAGTTGTATCTACCCATACTGTGAGATCCAGTAGGAAAGGCATGCTCTGAGTCCCATTCATTAGGGAATAGCGGGGATGAGAGTCTTTTCTGTTGTGGTGCCCACCCTCTAGAACATCATTCCCCTAGAGATTTGACCTACTGGCTTTCTGTAAGGCCTTAAAAACCTGGCTTTGTTGCCGAGCCTGGGCTCAACCTGTGTGGATGAGCCCATATCTTGGTTATGTTGATGGTGTTGGTTGGTTTTTTATCTTGGCTCCTATATTTATTATTTATTGCTTTTATGATGTTTTCATTCATTTTTTATTCTGTTAGCTGCCCAGGGTCATATGTTAAATAAGTTGTGGTTGAATTCTAAATTGTAATGTGATACACAGAAAAAAAATATTAAATACGTGGGGAAAAATCATAGAAACTCAGATGTACTTTTGCCATATTAATCTTATTTACATTTAAATTACATTAAAGCAAATTTAGGTTTTACTTTAGTTTCTATTATGTTGTAGGTTGTAGT